TGCCTTCCCTCTAGTCTTACACTGCTAAATTAGTGACGCAAGTGCAGGTAGCACTCGTGTAGCTAAAGAGATGTGGCACCTTGTTAAATACTTTTTGAAAATCCAGATACACCAAATCTACACCCTTATCCTCATCTACATAAGTAGTAACCTTTTTAAAGATTGCCAAAAGGTTTTTAAGGTAAGATTTACCCTTAGTGAAAACATGTTGACTATCCACTAAAATTCTAAACTTTGTTACATGTCATTGCAAAGCATTTTTTTATCCCACAACTCGTGTATGACTAATAAGCCTATATTTACTGATACAATTTTATCACCTTCCTTGAAAAGAGGAGTGACATTCAAAGACTTACAAACATTAGTAGCAAGTGGCTCACATATCCAATCTTTAGCTTCTTTAAAACCTTTGGGGGAAATATTATCTGGCTCAGGAGCTTTATCATTCTTTAAACTTCCCAATTTTTTTCTTAACAAGCTCAGAATTACTGTGACCCTCTTGTTTCCATCTATCAACTGTTCAAGATGAGGAATATTGCTTAAATCTTCATTAGTAAAAAGTGAAGAAAAAGCAGAATTTAATAACCCAGCCATCTCATAATCATTCGGTACGAGCCTTCCTTTATCATCTCTCAAACGCCCTTCACTCATTCGGACATTTTGCTTACCCTTAATGTATGTAAAATATAGGACAGAACAAATAAAAAACACATAAAGAGTGTTTTAAGTACAACGAACAGCATGCAGAAAGAACCGTATAATTACTGGGTAACCGTGAAACTAATATTCAATGAAAACTATAATACCAGAAAAAGTAGTAATGTTATTATTATGTCACTGACACAGTAAACCTTGCTAAAGTTGTCGTTTAAGTTACTTTTATAGTATTCGTTTGAGTTTCTAATTTTTACGGAGAACGTTTTCAACTTACCTACTATGATGTCTAATCCCAATTACACAAGGTAAATCCAAATAACTTGGTTTTATACTTCCTTAAAAATCCGGTTTTCCTTCTTTGTTTTTCAAAAGCACAATGTAAAAACCCAATGAATATTGCGTTAATTCTCCTGCAACAACCTGCTTCATTGAAACGATGCCAGAAATGATATCAACCTTGAAGCATTGGCTTCTGACAGCGGAAGGGCATACATGCATCACATTTTTAGCTCCTTCCTTCCGATATGTTACAGTACGTAACATCCTGTGAGGGATTCTGATACATTTCCTGGAAGAACAGGACGCTCCAGAAATTTCGAATCACTTTAAAAATCTCTCCACACACTATATTATCTTGGCAGGAAACATTAACTCAGTCATATGTAATCACGAACTTCAAGTGAAAATAAAAAATGTAGCTATAGAAAGCTGTAAAAAGTCTTTGTTTTAGATATTTTGAACAAGCAACACTATTTGTGATGGGTAAGTTGAACTACACAGTAATAAGGTATGTAACAAAATCCTGACGAATCGTCGACTCGTCTTTCTCAAAGGCCCGGCATGGCCAGGTGGTTAGGGCGTTCGAATCCCCTTCACACCAAACATGCTCGCCCTTTCAGCCGTGGGGGCGTTATAAAGTTACGGTCAATCCCACTAGTCGTTGGTAAAAGAGTAGCCCAAGAGTTGGCGGTGATGACTAGCTGCCTTCCCTAGCTAAATTAGGGACGGCTAGCGCAGCCCTCGTGTAGCTTTGCGCGAAATCCATAACAAACAAACTTTCTCAATATTCAAAATGTATTTAGTTCCTAACTTCAGAATTATTAAGATCATTTTTTTTTCTTATGTGGTTCATTATTTTATCTTTCGCCCACTTAAAATATACTGTTCATTATTAATCCACTCGAGCATATTTGTACAGGTCATTTTTTACTCAACTGGACTTTTATAATATTCGTCTTTTATTCGGGTAAGTAAGGCTACTTTGCTGGGTTATTTTTTTTATCTTGATAACGTTATTACGTCTATATATACATTTCCTAAATAGTTACCTTTTCTTCACACGTTTATAAAATATTTGTATGTATAGTTTATAGCTTACTTATTTTGTGTTTTTCATGCGCAACCACGATTAATAGATAAAATGTGAGTAGCATTTCTACTAACCAGTTTTATATAAAAATTGTTGAAAACATTAAAGACTTCCCGGTATCCCTAAGGGAAAACCAGTTTTATTTTTTGCATTATGTATGAAATGTTCTTAGTATTTATGAGGTTACTAGGAAACCAGCTTTATGATTTTTATTTAAACTTGTTAACCCTCGAATTACTAATTTTTAAACTTTACGCTATTGGCCAGGCCACATATTGAATAACGTTGTTTTTATCTGTTACAACACTGAGTAAAGAAGTAAACACCAACCGTAATTAACAGAATTAATTGGAAATTAATACTATTTTTATTTAATTCATGCCCCACAGTTGGTCGGAGGTAAGTCTACGGACTTACAACCCTGAAAACCGAGGTTCGATTACCCGAGTTTGACAGAGTGCAGATACAAGAAATAACGTTTTCTCATTAAGAACCCTATAACCAACATACTGAATGCTTATATGTATCTATAAGCAATTTGGTGCACAGATATATATATATATATATTAAGTCGTAAAGAAATTAATGTCGCGTTTTGGAACACTTTCATTAACCACCCCCCAAAAAACGTACTTCACGCTTAAACGTCACGTTAGTGTAGCCTATATAATGTGTAAAGTTTAATATACTCTAATCCCTTATAGTGATGGCACACATTCGGCATGTAATGCTGTTTGAATACAAGAAGGGAAACAACGTCTCTGTAGCGACAAAGGATATCAAAGAAGTTTATGGAAATGTTTTGAACATTCGTAAGTGTTCAGCTAATTTCGTTCAGTGACTTTAGCCTTAAAACTGTGATGGCAGGGGCCGACATGTTGAGTCTAACCCAAGGCAACATACTCGTAAAATGGCCCTGAGATTGCATGTCTATGATGAAACAATAGGTAAACATGTAAGGAATATAGGAAAACTCTATAAAGGTGATTGGGTGTCTCACGAACTCGCCGATGATCATCGTTGCTTTGTCTCTTCTGGCGCGTGAACCATTTTTGGACAGAATTGTCACCAGTGATGAAAAATGGATTCATAGTCCATTCTTCACAGTTTGAATCAAAAGACTTTAATCAGAGCAGCTTGTTTGTATGGCTGATCAAAATCTATTACTTGTTACACCTTTGAAGACAAACAGTAAGTGGCAGTTTTATATCACTGGATGTCTTCTTGAACTTGTAGTTATTACATGACGATCATATGTAGTTGTGTAAAAGATTTCAAAGCTTCACACTCACAGTTTGACACCCAAGGGTATTTCATCTTTAGTTCTGAAATCCTATAATTTATATCCTTTGAATCAGAATCAAAGGATGCAGACAAACAAATTTCGAGAACACCTAGTCATTTCTTATTTTAAGAATTCAGTTAAATGTAATCATTTCATTCTGATGCCTTTTCGGTAGTTAGTACTGCTTCATTTGAAATACAGTTCTATTATGGTACTTCTAATAACCTTACATTAATAACAAGTACAGTTTAAGAATCTAACAAGTTTTGTTAACCTTCCAGTAGTGACCAGTGTAGTTTAATAACATTCCAATCTAACAAGTTCTGTTAACCTTCCAGTAGTGACCAGTGTAGTTTAAGAACATTCCAATCTAGCAAGTTCTGTTAAACTTCCAGTAGTGACCAGTGTAGTTTAATAACATTCCAATCTAGCAAGTTCTGTTAACCTTCCAGTAGTTACCAGTGTAGTTTAATAACATTCCAATCTAGCAAGTCCTGTTAACCTTCCAGTAGTGACCAGTGTAGTTTAAGAACATTCCAAAATGGCAAGTTCTGTTAAACTTCCAAGTGACCAGTGTAGTTTAAAAACATTCCAAGATAGCAAGTCCTGTTAACCTTCCAGTAGTGACCAGTGTAGGTTAAGAACATTCCAATCTAGCAAGTTCTGTTAACCTTCCAGTAGTGACCAGTGTAGTTTAAGAACATTCCAATCTGTCAAATCCTGTTAATCGTGTATTCATACAGTACAAGTTTAGTATATATTGGTAAGATTTTACATCTAAGCTACAAGTTGGTTGGTTTTCTACTAGATCAAACTGTTAAAATGGAGTTTGTTTGGGTAGATCAGATCAGTAATTGTGGTAAAACCGTACAACTATCATCAAATTCACTAGCATTCCAGGATATTAAGAATCTCGAACTGGAGAAACCTTTCTATAAACTTACTTTCAACACTGCACAAAATTGTTAAGAAGACAATTTTGTCCATGGATATTAATATTTTTGAAATCATGTAACTGAGAAAAAGTAAACTTATGATGTTATACAATTTTCCTGTTTTACTAAGATTTACTGACACGAGACTTCACATGTATACTTCAAGGCCTTTAATTCCTCAGATATACAACATCAATTGATTAATTCTTCTTCTTAGACACACCAACAGTCCTTCCTCTGCGACCAGTGGTTTTAGTGTGCTGTCCTCTGACCCGGAGACTACAAAGTTTTATAAAACAAAGTTAGTTAAAATATCACCACATGTATAAACCTGTTACGAATGTAATATTAATAACAGGGACTACTACGTGTACATGAAAAATAAAACAGTCATTATGTCTATTATGAAATAATATTTGGTAATGATTTTTACACATAACAAAGAAGGTTTAAACTATTACACATTTATAAATAATATATTTTAGTGTTTTTACGACACTTTAGGCTAAGGTTAGCATGTTGTATTACTTGAATACTGCTTATATAGATACTGTTTATACAGCTATTAAGACAACATATAGTTCCCAACTGTCCATGGACTCTTGTTAGATACCGTTTATACAGCTATTAAGACAACATATAGTTCCCAACTGTCCATGGACTCTTGTTAGATACCGTTTATACAGCTATTAAGACAACATATAGTTCCCAACTGTCCATGGACTCTTGTTAGATACCGTTTATATAGCTATTAAGACAACATACAGTTCCCAAAAGTCCATGGACTCTTGTTAGATACTGTTTATATAGCTATTAAGACAACTTACAGTTCCCAACAGTCCAAGTACTCTTGTTAGATACTGTTTATATAGCTATCAGAACAACATACAGTTCCCAACAGTCCATGGACTCTTGTTAGATACTGTTTATATAGCTATTAAGACAACATACAGTTCCCAACAGTATCTAACAAGAGTCCATGGACACTTGTTAGATACTGCTTATATAGCTATTAGAACAACATACATTTCCCAACTGTCCATGGACTCTTGTTAGACACCGTTTATATAGCTATTAGAACAACATACAGTTCCCAACAGTCCATGGACACTTGTTAGACACCGTTTATATAGCTATTAGAAGAGTCCATGGACAGTTGGGAACTGTATGTTGTCTTAATAGCTATATAAACAGTATCTAACAAGAGTCCATGGACAGTTAGGAACTGTATGTTGAATAGCTATATAAACAGTATCTAACAAACTGTTGGGAATTGTATGTTGTTCTTAGCTATTAGAACAACATACAGTTCCCAACAGTCCATGGACTCTTGTTAGATACTGTTTATACAGCTATTAAGACAACATACGAGTCCTTGGACAGTTGGGAACTTATAAACAGTGTCTAACAATAGCTATTAAGACAATATTATTTATCAACAATTAAAAGTTTACCTATATAATGATATTAATTTTGTTAAACCCAACCTATTCAATATGATGTATAATTACATCTTTAACCCTCTTTTCCCATGTATTCCACAATACTCAGTGCTTCACTTCTTTATTTGAAGTGTAGAGTATGATTGTTTTAACAGAGCAGTCAAATAGCCAAAAATAACATTTAAATCATGCAACAATATTTTCCTGGAAATGGAAAAACCAAACATGCTGAATAAATAATTTACAGAAATACTGAGCTAAACAATATCAATGAATGAAGAAAAAAGATAACAGAATATTACTTTTGTCAATATTATGATGTTTATCTACCACATAAAGAAGTACCGGTGGCCAATGTATCACAAAAAAACTACAACATCTAATCTTGTACAAATAGATAAGGCCTATATTAAATTTAATAACAACTGTACTGTATAGAATGAACAATCACTTAATGTCTTTGAATAATTAGGACATTTAGGCCTAATACATAAATGAAAATGTTACAAATAAGTATTAAAATTGATAGATTTCAGTACTTCTACTCATTAGAGGCTTATGTTTACAATACCAGTGCTCTTCTAGAACTTGAGATTACAAAACCGTGTATTTTAGTATATTTTTTATTCTAAGAATTTTTCCCACAAATTTATGCTTTAAAAATCATAAAATTAACCAAGAAAAACTGGCATATTGTGGAAGGTTATGTTCGATATATACAAGTATTATGTTTTACATCAAATGTTGGTATTCTAACGAAAACATTAAACTTTAATCTCAAGATTTTCAAACATCACTGATGACTCACCCCCAGAAATGTCTAAGTCCACGGTGAGCCCGAATCTTTTTCAATCTTTCCAAGTCCTCTCGAAGCTTGTTATCAAGAGCATTAGATACTACCTGGCTGTATTTTCCATCCTTTACATCTTTTTGTCTGTTTAGGAACCAGTCGGGAATTTTATATTGTCGGGGGTTAGTCATGATAGTGATCAGCTTCTCCACCTAGTGAGAAAAAATATTCTAATTACCACACCTGCAGTGTTCGAAGGCTTAACACATACAGACAATCAAGAACAAAAGTCTTTCTATTAACACTGAAATATTACTCAGACAACATTTGTAAGATAACTAGACACTAATACAGTGCAACTTGGTGTTTCCTGTCCATTCGATGATACTGTCATTCCTTATTCCTTCCCAGTTACACATTTGACACAGTACTAAAACAGTACCATGAAATGGACAGTAAACATTAGTACTA